TGACCTCTGGCATTTGACATTACATGATGGAAATCTGAATTGACAAGTGACATCCATCAGTTTAAAAAGAGAATTAACATGTTCAATGAGTGATGAGGTGACTATTTGTAGTCCTTGTACTGCAAAGCTTTCAGAAACACAGATCCAGTTTCTATTTTCATATAATAATTTGAGGTGAAGTATTCGTAAACCACCAAAACAAAAGTAGGCCACTGTGTCATACATAACATGCAGCATAACAGCAGCATAACAGTGTAACAGACAGACAGAACACAGATAGATAGATAGATAGATAGATTGCCTCTAAAGCCCATAAGAAAAAGCTGCTACTGAAGAAGATTGCCGAGGCACCAGCTGCCTGCCATGTTTCAGTGCTGCATGTGGGTCAAATATTTCTGATTTCGTGATTTGGGGTTAGCCGTCATAGCAGCGAGAGCCAGACATGGGCCATGTTGATCGTAATGAGGTCAATTAAGCCCAAACCAGAAGATTCTGGCTTAATTTACTTCATTAACCTGGTATTATATGCTAATACCATGGTACTTTGATATGGTAATGATTCAGTACCATGGTACTGAATAACACACACCCTGTTCATCACTCTATTCAGCTGATGAAGAGCTGCAGAACAATTAGAAATACAATTTCCAGACACACCTTAAGAATATTTTTTTCCACTGACATTGGTCTGTATGTCCAAATGTTAAAAAAAATTACTGGTTTATGCTGGTCCTTTGCTGGTTTAAACTGGTCCTTTGCTCGTTTATGCTGGTCCTTTGCTGGTTTAAACTGGTCCTTTGCTCGTTTATGCTGGTCCTTTGCTGGTTTAAACTGGTCCTTTGCTCGTTTATGCTGGTCCTTTGCTGGTTTAAACTGGTCCTTTGCTCGTTTATGCTGGTCCTTTGCTGGTTTAAACTGGTCCTTTGCTGGTTTATGCTGGTCCTTTGCTGGTTTAAACTGGTCCTTTGCTGGTGAGAGAGCCACTCTGAACTGCACAAACACATGTCTTATCATGTTTCGCTAACTTACAGCAGTGGCAACATGAACTATGTATCATTTGAAGGTTTAGATTCCGTCACGGTTCTTCTCCACCGGAGCTGCTCTCTTTGCAGAGTCAAACGCTTCACTGTCCACTGATTGCTGCCGCCATCTTTGATATTGATTCTCATTGCACGTTCATTCAATCACGATTTGAGATGCTACTTTAGGTTATTTTGTGAATGGTATACATATATATATATATAGTCCCAATAGTTAAGTGTTAGTTTGAGCTTTTCTGGTATCTATCCTAGTAACACTGATTCCTTTTTTTATTTGACATACAGCTAGTCAGAATGGTTATATTATAGGTCAATTAAAAAATCTTCACATAAAAATAAGTCACTATTAAAAATCGGAAAAGATATTAGTGTATATTAGGTAATTTAGTTAATACAAGGAGAATTTCTACTACCAAATAAACAATGTGTAAAATGGTAAAACACAAATAGATATTAAAAACTGGAATACATACTAGTAGCTGACATAAAATAAAATGGCACTTTGTACACTAGGCTGTATTACAGAAGTGTCCTATGTTTATTCTTGATTTAAGATTTTAAAAAGTTGAATTTCCTAAGTGAAATTATCATGGTTACTAAACAGATAGGATAGGTTTAAATTAGAACATTCTGGCAATACAGACTAGTAGTAAACAAATTAGTAACTAACCTCATAGATACCAAAAATAATTGTTAGCTTAATAAAATACTAGTCACTATTGGATTACCTACTGGTAATTAAAAAGTAATAAAAATAATAAACTACCAACAGAAAAACTAGTTTAAAGAATAAATGTATAACCAGCTTGCCATACTTGGATGTTTCTTCAATACATTTTTATTCCCTGGGTTAAGAATGTGTCATCTGCTCACTTCTAATGTAGTCAGTAGCACCTTAGATAATTCAATCAAAAACATGTTATTCATCCCATGGACACTGCTGCATAGTAATACGCTTATAAGGCTAAATACATTCTGAATAAATGGTTGCCTTTATATCTAGTGTTTTATCGTGCATGGATGGATCATAGGTTTTGTCTTCTCAGACAGCCAATGATGCATCAATTTAAACCTCAGCACTGTTGCTTTTACCCAGCACATTCAGAGGAAAATAAATATTTAATTCAGCAGCAGTCAGAAGCCATAACTGCAGCTGTGCATGTGATACATGGAAAAAGTGTAATAAGCTAGTTCTGTCTCAAGGGTGGGTTGTGGTTTAAAATAACTCGTTAGAGGATCTGTCTACCTTCTGTGACTAGGTTGTCTCTACTGACAATTTGTCCTTAAGCACACATTGAAAATTGCTTGAAGATAAATATATATTCATATGTAGTTCCTTATGTGGACAATGCCTTTAAAAAGCAAACCTATTTCAGCAAAAACCCAATAAACTTTTTCATCATCTATTGCTTACTCTATTAGCAAATATGCACATTTTCATTACGTAGACAAAGTCCACATCCTGCAATAATAGGAGTTCATACTTTGCCATATATTATGCTATAAATACAAGTTGTCAGTGGGGGACAATTTAATCAACTTATTGCCAGGATTTTTGTACAGCATTTGAAAAATCAACATTAAATTCTCTAATAAAAACCTTGGTGTCATGACCTTGAGCAAAAAGCTCATAATGAACTGTGAGCCCTGCCTTAAGCATATCTATCTTGAAATATTAAAATTCAGTCCCAAGTTCCCAACACAATTAACACTTTCACGGTCTGATAGAATTCTTAAATTCTTATTTAACTTAAAAGCACCTTTTTAAAAAGGCACTAATTTCATGGAATGATCTATAAATATTAGTAGCACACACCTAGTGTATAGCAGATTATAAATCAGCATAAACGTCAATTTATTTTCAAGTTAGCTACTTTTTTTCTCTACACATGCCGTTTATCTGAAAAAACGGTTTTCTTCCCATGTTTCCAATCCAGATCATCTTTACATTTAATACTAAAACTAAAAACTTTGAAAAACGAAGCAGTTCCCAGCAATCTGTACTTTTCCTTAGTCCAAAAAAACTAACAAAAAACAGCTCAAATTAAGCATTTGTGCAAAGCCCTGTCACATAGGTTTGAACAATCTGTTCAGCAGGCCCTCTGTTGGCGGACAGACTCATTGTAGCACCAAAGTTGAATTTAGCCAAAGGGAAAACATACTGCACCTTTTCCACTCTGAAAACACCACAACGTGCTTACGCAGAAAAAAAAATAAATAAATACTGACCAGAGATTCCAAATCCCTCAAACACACTCCACTTCGCAACTTGATAAGCTTTTATTATTTGCAATGTTTCATCTCTCCAACGTTTTCCAGTTTGATGCGAAAGCATTTAATTCCTTAAATAATAGAGCGCAAAAAATATTTACACATTTTTTTCAATAAAACTAATCAATGGATCATTGTAAGCACCTCTTACCATCTAACAAATCTTAAATACAGGGAAACTGCCATTTTTTGTTGGAAAAAAATAAATGGCATTACATCAGATTTTTAAACTTTTAATTTCTGAAAATAAACCAAAAAAAAACAACATTTTCATATGTACAGAACGCTCCTGAAATGTGTTTCCACTTTGCAAGTAGAAAAGGCTTTAGGATCATTACTGTCATTTCATCAAAAGAGCGCAAAAAATATTTACACATTTTTTTCAATAAAACTAATCAATGGATCATTGTAAGCACCTCTTACCATCTAACAAATCTTAAATACAGGGAAACTGCCATTTTTTTGTTGGAAAAAAATAAATGGCATTACATCAGATTTTTAAACTTTTAATTTCTGAAAATAAACCAAAAAAAAACAACATTTTCATATGTACAGAACGCTCCTGAAATGTGTTTCCACTTTGCAAGTAGAAAAGGCTTTAGGATCATTACTGTCATTTCATCAAGTTGATTTTTCTATATGCTTCAAGTTTGAATGATTTCTCTTAAAATTTCCACCGCAGGCTTGCTCGAGTGGGGCTTCCACAAAGACCCCCATCAGTTCTTCAAGAGAGGTAAGAGGTAAGATGCAAAAGTGTGGGGTAGGAAGCAGGACAAGGATGGCTTAGTAGGAAGCATGTTGGATCCCCTCCTCATCCAGCAGCACCAAGGTCAAAAAGGTCAAAGTCCATCCATGACCATCATCCCGAAGTTCAACAGGTCCACCCCTTATTAAAGGATACAGGAAGCAAAAAAGGGCGAAATACAAACGCTACTCAAATTTCATTCGTCACTTAGAGAATTCCTCGAATACTACGCTCATGTATCAGTCTTTGTGGATTTAAAAACGATTCCTCTCACACACACGAAAGAAAACGCCTGTAAGAGCTCTGCGTTTGATCCGACATTACAAACCTAAAGGACATGATCGCCATCACACCCTCTACACAATATATATGACACCATGTCTGGTTTGTCATATACCACGTTGCATATAAATCTATATTAACATGTAAGAGCAGCGTTGGTTTGTACTTTTTTCCCCCATGAATTTCTCATTAAAAATAAATGACGATGAATTGGTAACACGTTCATGCAGTCCTGCAGATTTTTTTTTTGATTTTTTTTTTGTAATTTTATTGTTTTTGGTGGACACTAGAAATGTCTTGATTCCTTAAGGATCATGTGACACTGAAGACTGGAGTAATGATGCTGAAAATTCAGCTTTTGTCACAAGAATAAATTAATCAAATTAAAATGTCATTTATTTAAAAAAAAAAAAAAGTTATTTTAAATTATAATATTTCACAATATTACCGTTTTTACTGAATTGTATCAATTAAACGCAGTCTTGGTGAGAAACCTTACCGACCCCAAACTTTAGAAGATCAGTATTAATCCAACAAAAAATTTATTTCATGCATAATTTATAAAACTCAACCCCCCCCCCCCCCC